TAGCTGAACACGTTATTTGTTGTATGTTCATACTTTACGCGTTACTTTTCAGTACGTGAATTAAAGTCCGAATCGGTTTACATCCATGTATCTTTAGATGTATAGTCTATGTAGAGGGAAATCGAAGGAACTTTGATTCCTTCTAGCGATTCTAAGGTCATCCCTGTCTTTTCTATGGTAGCAGTTGGTCCTGGGTCTGCTAGAACCTCTCAGAAAGGTTCTTCTTATAGGAAACCTATAAGAGGAGACCTCAAGGGTATTTTTGTATAAGAAAATGAAGTCCCACTGGATCCTCCAGTGGATCTAGGATATGATTCATTTTCGACAGTTCCGTCTACAACTATTCCTGTCGATGGAACGCCAAATCAGAGGTGGTCTATCATGTGGTCAACAACCTAGCCAGTTCAAGGTGGAGCAAGTTCCTCGAGGCGTCTCGTGGGTGGCAGCTGCGTCGTGAGACGTCGCCTCGCGAAAACGCAAAATTCCGGAGAAGGCTTAAATGTCCGAGGTTCGCACAAGCGACCGCAAGCCGCACGATTGCACGCGGTGGACCGCATGCGGCACGCGAGACCACGTGACGCGTTGTAACGAGCCACATTCTGAGCGTGGACCGCATAACAGGCCGCACGTGGACCAACAGTTGCGCACCACTGTCCACCGAGCACCTCAGCTTCGCCATTCGTCGTAAAACGATTGTCGCCAACGTCGACAATCATTTTACGTATCCCTCTCCGATGTGATCGATCGATCGAGTTAGCTAGTCCAAGATGTTGACTGATACGATAAAGATACGTCCAGTGACATGCAAGTATTCGTCAGATAGCAGTATTATATCAGTTGCATACGGGCGTCTAATGTCACAGATTCAATGACGGATCACGTGAAGCCGTTATGTCTCCGTCACATGATTCGTCGATCACCTGTTTACTTTCTCTGCCCGCGAGGCTAATGGTTACTAGAACGGAACGCGTACGTTGTCTAGGAGAAGATATTTCTTGAATGGTACCCAAGATTATCGATGATGGCTGTGTATCGTTAGCAGAGATCTGAGACGAAGACGGTGACGGAATTGTTCGACGAACCGTAAAAACGAAATATCGATCAACGCCATAGACGCGTTAATTAGAACGAACCGATGAATCGGTAATAAAGATCCGTGCGAATATTAACAGCGTGTCGAGAGAATTATATCCGCAAGACAGAGTATTAACGATTTAACCGATTACAGAAATTCGCTAATTATCAACGTACTTGAAGCATATTGACGATAATTAGTTTCGTAAAACACGGACGATAATATATATATATGTATATATATACACAATCCAGTCTCTATTAATTACGCTCCCCTTGCATCGTCGGATGAAATTAAAGTCGAATCGAGCCAGGGTCCGTGGTCTGTCGGGCATGTACGCGTTACGTTTCCATTAAATTTTCGTTTACCCCTCTCGAGGATTTTTATACATTTCGACGTACCGGCTTGGAGATTTAGGGGACCGTCGTCGGTTTCGGAATCCGTGCCAAGAGTGCGAGTACTGTCCGATCTCGTCGAGGGATCCATGAAAAATGGCGTCGTCCTATTTGAACGCCAATTTATTAATGCGTTTATTTATCAGCACGTTACGCGACCGTAGGGTCCGGTCTAAAAATAACTTGTTCCCGATCAATCGTTTAGTTATCGTTTCGTTTCATTATTATCTGCTATCTGTACCTCGAGAATCGAAAATGTACTAATGGGTATTCAACCGGTTACGCGATCTCGAATGTCAGCCGCGCATTCCGCTTCGCGGAATAGAAGTTATGATATTTTTTTTTGTTGCAAAACCAAGACATATGGTCGCTGTTATCGTTCGCGTTATTGGATCATTACTCATTTACTATTTGCAGAACGATAAGTAGTTACACATGTTACAGTAGAAGAGTGTACTTTGATAATATCCTGCGTTTCGCCTGAATGACATATGCATCCTGTCTACCGAGTACCAATGCGCTGTTAACACTGACATTCATTTTTTTCCTGTCACGTAGGTGGTTTCTATAAAATGCAGGAAAGTGGTTTTCAAACTGGGATCCCCAGACGATATAAATAGGAAGGAACCCGTCATACGATATCGAATTCTTTTCTAGACAGCTTAAACAAATTTGAAACTTGAAAAATTAATAAACACTGCATCAGTAGATACATAAAAAATAGACTGCATAACAGAATACTAATAGCAATAAAATAGTACGCAAATGACGATCCCAACGCGTTTCAGCAGGAAACTTTCTATTCGTTCCAGTATCAGCAGGAATGCGGGCAGGATTCGTTACCGGGAACTTTACGTGCGACTTAATTTAATTTCGCGAATTCCATATCACGTCTGCGGGACGCAGTTCCCCTGAGTTTTCCTTCTTCCCCCTTTCTCCTCCCGTCCTCTTTTTTCCTACGGGTCGACAATTTATGTTTTTCGCTGGCAAGCCAGAGATTTACAGAGGTAGCCGCCGCGGTTACTGGAATTCGTGCCAAAACCTTGCAATCTGTACTGTAGAAGCATCGTGCAGTAAAGTTGTATCGCTCGTGGATTCGCTTAGTCATTCGATGACATCAGGAAAATGAACCGTTTCAAACTGCAATACCGAGACTAATCTGCTACGTCATTCTTCTACTTATCGCTCCGCGGGCCCATTGCGCGAGATTACTGTCCCTTTCGGGAAGAAACATTTGTATTTGAAGTTAAAAGGATGAACAAACAAAAACTGAGCGATAAGCATCTGCTTAGTCGTCGCTCGTTATGGAAATTTTGAAACTGAATCGATAGAACGGAATATTTTTGTGGTTTCTTTCACTCTCCGATACGTTCATTGATAACACATTCGAAATTTGTATCGGATGAGTAATGGTTGTTCATCTTTGAATCAATCTTTCTCTACGTATTAATTATGTATATACTCCAAACGTACTTCAACAAAATCTGAAATAATACACCACAGAATGGAGTGATATCGATTATTACGAGGTATTTCTCAGAATGGCTCTACATTCGTTTAGAGATGACAATCGTAATCGAAAGTAACTTGTCAAGCAATTAGATATTTTCATGCGAGTCCAATTACAATCGTGATTTTCGACAACCAAATATAGCGTCGAGATCATTATATTTTAACGACGAACTCGTAGGAACCAGCCTCGAGGAGACTTTCTATTGGTCCAGACGCAACGAACGTGCGACCCGTCCAATTAAATTCAATCAAAACCGTTTGATCCAGTGGAGTGTCAATGTACAGAATGATTCAGCGTATAGTACGAAAGTGAACGAATGACTTTGGCTAAGAATGGGAATTCACACCGAAAAGGAAACGAACAATTCTGAAAGAAAAAAGGCAGACAATAGTTCGACGAATCGATCAAAATTTCAACTGTTCCCTGTTTTTCCAATCTCCAAATACCGTCTGTCACTGTCAAATCTGATTCTCGCGAAATCCCATCATTCTCGACACCCAGGAATATAAACGAGGGGCGATCGTGAAATTTTAACCACTATTTGAGTTATGGAAAATCGAAACGATTAATGCCAGAGAAAATTCCATGGAATTAACGCGACATACTAGTTCAGTTTCGAAACGAGTGATAAGCTTTTTCGAGCGTTCGTGGCCAAATCAATAATTGGCGGTTTAGATGATACTGTTTCACCAAATATCACGATTGTAATTTACCGTCAATTAGAAGCCATTGGTCTCCTGACTCGCTGACCTAACCGCATATTATATACAATATATATATTATATATATATATAGTATATATACATACATATATATATATATATATATATAAAATAGCTTGATACCCGATACAAATCAATAACCCCTGGCAAACCGGTCTAATACGATTTAATAAGACTAATATACCAAACTATGTTAATGACGTCGTTCGATCCATCGGCGTTAATATTGCATTTCGACGATCAATTTTTGTCACAATAACGAATATACGCGATGCGTATGCTTCATACATCACGCGGTGTCGAAAAACGTCGAATAATTCAGCTCTGAAATATTTGATCAACTCCGAAGATTTCGAACGCGATAAAATTCTCGTCAATTAATCTTGGGCAACGTCAACACATCATTATTGTTACGTAAAAACAGATATGAAATTAATTCGCTTCCGACACGGTGGAATTTCAACGTGTCGTTCTTGTTAATTAAAAGCAAATTTGAATCAGTTCGTGCTCTCTCGAAGACATGTATACGTAATATATATCTCTCGAAGGGAACGTTGAACGCGAAATGAAAGATTAATCGTAAAGTTTTTTTTACGAGGAACGAGGCCAAACGGAACGTACAAGGCATTAAATATAAATATCTGTTTTCGCCAAATGTTTGATCGCGTGCTATTTCAATCCTTTTTACATTCCCGCTGAAATCGTCCAACTCCGACCCATCGGAAAATCGATTAACCTTTCATCATTGCAATCGTTGCGATTTTTTTTGCACTGCGGCTACGTTATTCATCCGCGTTCGAAACGCGTTTCTTCGTCTCTTGAACAGACGGCAACATAATAAAATTTAAAAGTTTTCTACAAAAATAGGATATCGCTAAATGACAATCGATGGTAACCTTTGCTTTTTTATATTCTTAAGCTTAGAATGGAAAAGTTACTATTTAGTCTTTTAGTGGAATGATCGAGTAACTTTTACTCCTTTTCAAAATAACCAATTTTTTACTTTTTTTTTCATTAGTACATAAAGTATCGAGGAATAAGGTATCAACATGGTTAAAAATAACATGCTGTTTACCCAATGTGATGCCCAATCCGACGTTCTTCAGATGCAATCGACTTCCAAGCATTGTTTTCATCCAGGTAAGCACGTGTTAAGAAAAAAGTGGCGGAAGAGAGACGATCTTTTCACATCGTGAAATCGAACGCGACACCGGACAGGAAGAGGGGGGAAGAGTCTTCCCGAGGGAGGGGGAGAGCTCTTTAGAACAGATTTATACGTAGGCTCGAGAGGCTCGCGCTAGCCATTTGCGAACCGTGTTCGCCAATGTGGTATCAGCGCCGCTATCGTCCAACGATCGTCGAAGGAAAAAAGGAACCGTCCGCCTTTCACCTGCAATAAACTCTGCTCGAGACATTGGCTCGTGCTAGTCGCTCCTGGAGAACTGCTCGCGTTGGTTCGAATCGAGCGGTGTTTGGTGAAGCACGGTGAGTTTCGATCCACGAATCCCGATCGATGCAGTCTCGATCGTGACGAGGTGCGATTCCGTTTTGGCAGGAGAGCAACAGCGCAAACGCGGAAGAGAGGAACTGATGTTGGCGTCAAACCGGATGAAATACCAGGGACGAACCAGCGATAGTCTCGCTGGAAGTTCAAGGCTGAAGCCGTGAGAAGGTGATAACGTTCGACAAACTGGATCCGCTGGACTTTGGCAAGCTAGGCGTAGAGAGTGCGTGCTCGCCTGGATGAAGCTGTATCGAATGACCGATTCATAGACCTGTTCGCGCGAACGTGGAAATCGGCAGGTAAGGTGCACATGGTTCGAGTAACAGATCGATAAAAACGGTTCACCAGTGATATTTGTACTTGTTCCATGCCGAGTCACATAATTTGAACTTCGATATTTATTTTGCGAGTACCTATACAAAAATTTTGCTTGCTTTCATTAAGGAATTATGTCCTCTCTTTCAAACCGGAAACGCGAACGCATGTTTCGATAAATTTTGGAAGCTCTGGCATTGCCAAACTGAACAATAACACACGTTCATGAATCAAGCTTAAAGTATAATCGCCGTGGCTACCTAACGTACACATTAATCGTTTAAGCATAAATTCGGAAACGAATGGATACACTAGGAAAATGTCCTATTGTTTTGCGTCATATTTATTCGAAAAATTTTCGTTGGAATATTCTAAAAGGACCGCGGAGCTATGGTCGAAACGTAGGCGTATTCAAATATCCACGATAATGTGAGTCATCTCGGTATCTGATAATACGATTATTAACGATAACAATAACGAATCGATCCCCATCGAGAAGAGAGTTTTATATATTTCCTTAAAAAATGAACGTACGCCCGTGGAAAATTTCGAATGTCTAGGTTTTACGCCTTTTGGCTCGATAAATCCTAAAAATCGGGGGAAAAGTGACGTTTCAAATGAGAACACCCCTTTCAACCGCGGTCAAACGAGAGACTAGTATTTTTTTCGTATTCTGCGAAACATGAAAACGGGAAACGGTGACGGACAATGAATTTTAAATTTGACCGTTAAAATGGTTACCAGGGATTGCAACCGTTGTCCAATCCGAGAGAAACCCGGCTTCCCAACGTGCAAAGTTAGCGCAACCCGTAGTTTCGCGAACATTTTTCAAAAATGTATAGGAACAGGTTATGCGAGGGCAGAAAAGAATATTAAATATTACTACGCTGCCGAATCAATTGTTTTTCGTCAAAGAAAATTCGTCCAACGTTCCTTGAAATTTATCAAATTCCTCTGACGCTATTGGCTGTAAAGTTCACGGACCGACGAGTGCAGAAATCATGGAGAAAATGACCGTGATCGGGATAAAAATTGCGCACAAGAATTAAATCGTTTTTGTTCCGTTCTGCGTCGTCCTCGGCGAGTTTTAATGGAAAGCTCGTTCTTGCAGGTGGCTCGAAACGGGAGAAAAGAGATTTTTAAAGCGTAGAGAGAGAGAGATTGGACGTCTCTGTATCGGATTCGCTTACGGTAGGCTTTAACTGTCACCCGATCCCTTGCGGCCAAACGAAATTCGACAAGTGAGTGAGCGAAGCCGGGGTACAATTTATCCGTAAATCATGATCTAATAAAACTCGGACGAAACCTTCGACAAACACGCGCAAGTTTAACCCCTCCAGGTACCGTGCACGGTGCACGTAAAGTTCATCAAGCCAAGGAACAATCGTATTTCAGTCCGAGCACAGATGTAACCTCTATCGATCGTAACGTGTTCTTATCATCGACGATTTATAGTAGTCTTCTTTTTCTTTTTCTTAAATTTAGATTAAATTCACCTGAAACTCCACGATACACAATATTCACATTCGTTAATGACTTTCAAATTTTTCGGTTTGCTAACATATACATTATCTTAAACTCCTTCGACTTATCTACCGATCGAACTGGATAATGAGATAAACAACGAATAATAGAAAATACCTCGTGAAAACACATGACACAACAAGAATAAAATACGAAAAGATTAAAGCCAAGTGTCCGTTATTGCTCATAGTGGGTGGCCGCGTCAAGAAAAATTTATGACACGGGTAGCAAATTATTTCCTTCGTTTTTATCGCGGTGTCAAGCAGAAGAGTGTAAAAAATCGATTCGATCGACAACAATTCGGAACGAGGTTGTCCCGCCGTTCCCGTCGGCTCTGACACAATATAATTTCCGTGAAACTGGCCGTGAAATCGAAATCGATTCGGCACTCGTCGGCTGCCGAGGAAACGGGGACGACGAATACGAAAGTCATCGACACGTTTCTACGGGCGCACACGCCCACGGGGAAAACGCTGGCGAACGTCGTTGACAGCTTTCGTAAGCGGAATACTTTGCGAGCTGCAGCCAGAGACAGGAGTTTCTTGAACTACGACCACCGTATTTTCGATTTCGCGGCAACCGAACGCTACCCGGACGGGACGGCATTGAGAACCACGGAGGAACGGTAAACGGCACTGAAACCTATATAAGGGATTATTTTGTCGACAAAGAGTTCATCTATCGCTAGCGTGCGCTACTTATCACTGTTAAACAATCATTGACCGGTTTTTACTTTATCGCGTTGATAAGGAACTCATTAGACACGCAACTACGAAATTTGATTTCGTCGTTATTATTCACGTAAGGACACTTTGACTAGATGACGCGTAAGTGCAAATACAGAATTAGGATAGAATGTTTATTTTGTTTAGTTGTCTAAACAGGTAGCAATCCTCTCGTTCTAAAACTGGAATGGACTATAAAATAAACTTGTCGAAGGTACACGAGCTAATTAAATGAAATTCGCGAGAATTGAACCCCTCCTGTTAATAACAATTAATATTATCCGTGAAATCCTAGAGATTACTGAACGTGCTTTGATATTCCTGGAATACACATTATTAAATTATACTGACTGCATTCTGCCAGGAATAAAATTAACCAAACCGGAAGAGACTTTCAAGCAATTCCAGGAGGATGCAGGATGATTGTACTTTCAGTAGAATCGGTATAATTTTCGATTGCTCGGCAGATTTAATCGACGATCGCGAATAGTACTCGTTTCTGTTCGAAAATTAGAACGCTGAGATTGAATTATTCACAAATGTGATGGATCGAGAGGTGAACCAAGTACGTTGAAATAAAGTCGCGAACGTCGCGAGAGAATACGTTGCAAACCTCGTGGCAATCGCGACAGTTTACGCAGTACAATGCACGTAACGACATTACATGAAACGATGCTTAACTCATGTCGTAGAAAATTGTCCTCGTGTTCGTTAAAGTCGTCGAGGTCGCCGGAAACGCGGATTGCTACCACTAACAACGGTTAATTTATACAATTTATGCACAGATAATGTCACTTTCTTGCTTTTCAGTCGGTCCTTCTCAAAAAATGAACAATTTTTAAGAAAAATTATTCTAATAGAGACTTGTCGATTAGTTTTTTTGCACGAGTCTAGATTCCTGAAGAGTCGCGTTACGATTCATTCTAAATGAAATTTCTCTTTGCATTGGTCAAAGACTATTATCAATCAGCAATTTATGTTCTAACAATAAGCAGAGGTGAGCCGACCATAAAATTCTCTTTCTTGGAATACAAAAGCAACGATTTTTTTCATGCCAAGCTTAATTGACGGATATCGACAGGCAACGTCTTACTTTCCGCATCTCATCGTTAAGTTTTAGCGCGCTAGTTGACGCAACGATTCGCGTAAAACGATAAATCATTTAATTCGGAAAAAGGATCGATCAATGGCGTCGCCGCGAGCCCTCGTCCATTAAAACCGCTCAAGATTAATTGCCACGAAGAAGTCTCACGGTAATTATCGATTGTTAGTTCGCGATCGTTATCGACGGCACAATTCTTTCAATTTATAACGAGCAAGGAAAAAGCTGCGAGTAACTTTGCTAAATACAGCTAACGCATTATCAGAATGTATCGCCATATCTACATCAACGGAAACGTTTTTATCGGCTAATTATTTATTGCGAGATAAACGTGGCTCAGTCTATTACCGTTACAGAAAATCTTGTTAATTCTCGGTTATTAGAGACTGCGATGGGTAAAATTTCAAAATTAAATCAATCTAGTATTAACATTTGTAATCGTTCCATTACACTGCGATTCAAATTTTCCTTTTCACTTAAAGTTGTTTATCTTCGATTCGTTATTCTAAATTTCTATCCAGATAAGAATTTTGCGTATCTCTGATTAGGCAAAAATGACCTGGATTAAGCGACGATTTTAATTAATTAACCGGAAGCTAGCACCTGAAGATAACAAAATTTACGTCAGCTAGAAGTTACCGAATTGTTCCCGGAGAACAAAGTAAATTATTCCATCGCTTCTCCGCCTTGTTCCCAAGACTAACAAGAAGTTTCTCTGTTCCTAATCCTAATAACACATCGTACCTCGAGGTTTTCATGGACACCGGACACGCTGGCTAACACCTAGTATTAATAATGTACGCGATTTCGACGTGACGCATCGTAACATTTAGCGTTTATCTTGTATGTTTTGCACAAGATTTAAAAAAAAAACTCTCAGACTACTGAGAAACCGTCAACTGGCCTGCCAGATCGCATCGCGAAAAATAATTGATCCAAAATGAGTTCGAGTCATGCTAGTTCTCGTGTCTGTGGTACAATCGTTTAAAACAATTAAATCTACTGCGACGTGCGCGACGAATTGCTCCTAGGTAATGTCATAAATGAAATAAAAAAATTGAATTTCAGTATCTCACAGAGATTCGTGGATGACGAGGTTTATAGCCATCTGTAGTTGATCTTACTAGACAATAAAGTAATTCTCGCTAATCTTGTTGTCGCGGCTTATCCGGCAGCTATATTTATGCGAAATGCTCTTACGCATCCTTCATAAAACCACTTGACGGGCTTTTAATTAATTTTTCACTCGGTCGCGATAAGAGCTCAAAATTCGCTATAAAACGCAAAAATTCGTTCCAGTCGATTAGAACAGGGTTAGTAGGAACCGAACGATTGAATAAATTCTTGCATAATCGCGTTATCGAGCTTTTTACTTTGTACGGATAATTTTATTCGATTTCAATGGCTAGAATTCGCTGCGGAGAAATCTGGAATTAACGCTGCTTTTAATCCTGAAAATGACGGGTGCAGATCCTCGCTTGTACTGATCTAGCACACCATGAAATATTAACAAAATATATATTTTTCACTTTTTGTAATTTCATTCGATTTATTGGAAAAATTTAAAAGTCGATTCTTCTCTGCGGTGCATAAATGGATAACAGTGTTTTGAAACATAGATTTATTCGACATT